TGCTGCTTTTCAGAGTTGCAACCAGAATCCAATAAGTTCGTGAGTTTGTTCAAGCCACTGCCAGAGACCCCAGCCATAACTATCTTCAGTTGCATGTACATCCAGCTCACAGGGCCTTGATGGGTCTATCACACTCAAGGCCTGCATAGCCTCGACTGCCTGTTTTGCAACAACAAAGGCAATTGCACGTGTTTCATCCCAGCCCCACCTGAACTCTTTCATACCAGATGGTATAAGGGCCTTAGAATTTGTGCAAAGTGCAGGACATTTTCCAATAGCCTAAAAGACCCAATACCTCTTGCAATAACGCCATATGCGTCTGTAAGAGAATTAGAAGTAAGCATAACATCATACACAATATTAGATGCCCTATTCCCAACAGGATTCGGGCTTGTTTCACTCTAATAGCCTTACCCCAGTACCCATCTATAACAGCAGGGGTCCTGGGAAACCATTCAGAGTTGCTATTAATCATTGAGCATTCAGCTCTTGTGTGTTCCAGAGCCAGGACAGGTACATTCACTGGGCACCAATGAATTGACATTTCAACATGTGGCCTCTGGTCTTCATGCAGTCTCCCAAAGCAGGTGTCTTGACTCTCCCCTCAGTCAAACCATATCACCTGATGACAGACCAGGTGGGGTCAGCTTACTCTCCAGCAGGAAGTCCTGCAGACATACAGGCCAGACTTGTGGCTTTGTCTCCAGCTTCCATTTCTTGGGCCTTGCTTTAGCTGATAGCCAAAACCACTGCTCTGGCTTTAATTGTTGCCACAGCTCCAGAAAGATTTTATTTGACTTTCCATCCAATTTCTCTCTGTCTGCTCCTGCCTTTATCAGATCAACCCACATCTAGGTCCTTGTGACCTTCACAGGGCCCTTTATACTCTTCTCCTGAGTAGCAGATTGTATTTCTTCTATATTCACATTGCGTCAGCCCCCCAAAAGTGGTAACCTCACTTATGGGCTGCCCTAAGTAAGGGACAAGAATGGCCACCAGGGGCCCAAAGAGGGACACGGGGCTGTTTGAAGCACCACATTCCTCATCCCCACAGTAAACGGCTCCTCATCTGGGTCATAATTCCTTGGACTATAAATGGCATTTTTCCTAACTCCCATAGGATGTTAGGGGAGTTAGGGATGCCTAACTCCCATAACACCTGTTGGAGCTCAGCATAAGTCTGCCATCTAGTGGATAAGGATGGTAAATCACCCTGATTGGGCCATACATAGCAAAGTGTGGCCAATCCAGGAGGGAGTGATTTTCTGGAGTCTGATGTGCATTTTGCAGTTGCTATTGTAAGGCAGGATGAACTGTCGGGTAAGCCAGCTTTACCATCTCTGATCCAGACAGAATTATTCTATCTACCCCTACATCCCAAAGATGCAGGAGCCAAGCTGATGTGGGGGCTTCTGCTGAAACCAGGAACCCAAATCCACCAGCTTAACCTGTGTATAGGGGTGGAGCATAGAGTGCTCCAAGACCTGGGGAGGGGCTGCACCTCTCCAGGAAGACCCCGCAGTTGCTGCATCTTTTCTTGACAACAAACAAGTGGCTTTCAATAGAGGAAGGGTTGGCGTCTCTGGCATCATACCCTTGTCCTTCTCTGCTGTATCCTCTGTTGCCTCTGGAGCTGATGGCTGCTTCCCCGCCACTCCCCTGGGTACCTCTTCTGCTACGTCCTTTACCCTTTCTACAGTGCCTTGCAGCAATGCTATTTCAGTCTTCAACAACTCTCTTACCTTCTCTTCAATACCTCACAGCTGGTGTTCTTGTGATGTTGCTTCTCGTGCTCCTTGCAGTTCATCCTTCTCCTGCATGGCCTTTTTCAATACTGTGAGGAATAGCCAACCCATGGTTCCCACCACCTCGTGGGCACTGTTTCTCCAAGGATCTTCCAATCTCGTAGAGAGCCTCTATCACTGCTGTAGGTGTCACCTCCACCTCCCCCAAGTCCTGGAGTGAGGCCCACTCCGTTAGGAAGAAAGCCACCTCAGTCCACATGCCCACTGGATGCTGGAATTCCTCCTTTAGCATGAAGGGTTCCTGTGGTATTTCCCTAGCCATAAGGGCAGTCTGCTGAAGCACCGCTCCCATGAGGGCAGCTTGTGCTGTTTTTGGTCCATAGCAAATCCTGCTGACTACACCAAATGTTTCACCTGAGGGTTTCAGTCCCGGTCAAGTTTACTCTGGATTCAGTGAGACCGAAAATGACAATGGAACATTCGGGGTAAAGGATTTTATAGCAACATTTATTCTCATGATGGCAGGTCAAATGCTAGAATTCCATCTGCCTCTGGGGCAGTCTGCATGCAGCAAGCCAGTAACCGCCTCCAGGCCTCTCTGCCAGCTCACAGCCCTTGCCTGTGCTCCAGGCTCTGCCTTTGACTCCAATCTGCTCTGGCCCAAGCATTGAGTGGAACTCTTTACATAGCAACAGAGAGGCAATATTGGCTTATTGTTAATGGGTGTTTAAGCATTAGCCTAACAGTAGGCTCATTACATCATCATCATCAAGTAGTTTAGGGTCAGGTGAGGATCCTGGCCATAGGCACTTTCATTTTCCCCACAGGTATAAAGGGTGTCCTGAGACCAGACAACTCCATATACCACATCTAAGCATTATCTCATTACAAAAGGGAAAAGAGTGTGCTTGGATCATATAAAGAACCCAGCTGCAAAATGTATGGTTAAGAAAAATCAAATGGAAAAGAAATGTAGTTTCATAGTGCAGAACTTAGTTATTTAAAGTAATATTTAAAAAGTAACAAGTGAAACCCATGTTTGCCCATCAGGACTTTCAAATACCTCCAAAATCCCTGAGAAGCTAAGTATCTGAATTGGCTGCATGCTGATTCCCCACCCACTGGGTCATGCAAGTGCAGTGTAGAGGTGCCAGGAGCTACTCATGCCTGAGGAACAATGCATTAACAAGACTGCCATTAATAAAGAAGGGAGACACACAAGAATAGAGGTCATGAGTTAAAACAACCAAAGAAGTCCTCTTTCGTGGGTATTTTTTTTTTAGTCTTTATCTGATTGCTTATCTGGGTATTAGTAGAATGTTAAGACCTTAGTCAACAAAACTGCAAGAAGTCAATAGAATAATTGAGATCTGTTTCTAAAAGCTGGGAACATTCTAATGAGGGTTATCTTAGTGTGGCAAATCCCATACCAAGAGCCTGCTTTCAGAGTTCTCCCTCACATCTGCACTAATGTGGTAGTGAGCCAATACATTCACAAAACAGCTTATTTACAATTTCCTTGTCTGTTATAGAAAGCAAGCAGAATACTCAATTAGAAATCAACTTAGAACAGTCCCTCAGGCTTTCTTAACCACCCACTGCTTCTAGGAATGAAATAGGAAATACCAACTTTTGGGTTTGCTGTGTTGACTGAAAGACATGCATGTGAAGTATTCAGCACAAGGACTGGTGCACAGAAACTACACCAAATGTTTCACCTGAGGGTTTCATTTATGTAAACAACTTTACATAAATATAAAAATGGGAGGCACACAAACATTTACAGTCACACCTGTCAGTGTTGGTGGATCTTACTCACCATTATTTAATTAACCAAAACTTTCAGATTTTATGTTTCATTTTAGAAAAAAATGTATTAGAGCCCAGAGAAGTCAGGTGAATTGAAGTGGCACAGATAAGAGTGGTTGAAATGGGATTAGATTCATGTGCTTCCAAGTCCAAGCTCTTTCCACACTGCAATGTTGTCTCCCAGGAGAGCTGAAACAGAAAGCCATTTATTTCAGAAACCTATTTACCGTAAGGTGTGCTCTGTGCTTAGGACAGTTAGCTCTATTTTACTAATGTGCTTCATACTATTTGAGAAGACAAAAAGTATTAACCCTTCCCTCCAAATATAAGTAACTATAGACCTCAACTTATTAGTACCCCAAACCAAAGCACTATGGGTTATCGAGGCTATTTAAACAAAAAAGGAGACATCCAAAAACATTGTATGAGAACACTGTGTACTTATGGTTACTGAGGATCCTACCAGACAGTAAAAAATTATTTCAAGTAAAATAATGAATCTAGGGTGGCAGTGGAGTCTCACTCATATGCAAACTGCTAGGAAGTGATTCCTCACTCCCAAATATTAGAATAAAAAAGATACAACAGATAAACTACTGAAAAAGCTAAGTATGGGCAGAAGGTTGCCTGTATTAAAGAGTATTTTCCTGCAACTCCAAATGATTTGGGGGTATTTGGACCTCTCTTTGAAGTATCACTTAAACCCTTTCAGAGACAACTCATTATATTTTATGGACTCCCAGTAAGATGTTTTCCTCCTCCATGGGCTCTGAAACAAAACACAGTAGTAAGACAGCAAACAGTCTGATGAAGTGCAGTGACTGAAGTAAGGGTCCACCCTCTGTCCTTACAAACACAGGAAGAAGGCAGTGCACAAGTGCTTGAGATAAATCTTCATATTAGAAAATTTTAAACACTTAAGTTTAGAAACAAAATATTTCCTCTAAGAACCATATATATTTGAAAAGGTGATGCTATACCTCTGAATTTAAAGAAGTACACTTAAGATTATGGGTTTTAAACATCAGTGAAGACATTCAGCAGGCTGCCAGGAGAGCCTGGCCTGATTGCTCATAAGTAACAACACTTGAAAGCTCCTGTTCTTTGAAACTAATTTAAACACATTGAATTGTTGAAAGATTAAAAACCGCAGTCAGCTAATTACACTCTCTCATCTCTTATTCAGCAAATGAATCACTTTTCATTACCACTTAGCTGAAGTACATGAATTTCTGCCTAATTAGAAATGTTGTAGATGGAACATTAGAAAGAACAGAGCTGGTCAGGGTATCTTTGCTACTTCATTTTTAATTCCTAACAGTAGAGTCTGATAGGAAAGAATAGAGAAGTCATTAAATAATTTTAAATTATTTATAAAAATTACTTTGCCCAAATTATAATTATTTTTCCCCAAATGGTCTCAAATGTCTAACAGAATGAAAGAAAAGCAGTTCAACATAGATTTTAATGAACATTTTAATGTTATGTATAACAGATTATGAATACAATGGAAACAAAGTTTTATCAATTTAATAAAAAAAAAACTGCAACACAAAGTGGGAAAGTAATAATTTGGTACCTATATTATTTAAAAAAATATTCCCAGCTGGAGGGTGAAACAATTTTGCAATCCAAACTCTAGAATCATGATTTTCATTGTGATCTTAATGCAGAATTACAGCAGGAAAACCAAAACATCTTAATTAATTTCCTTTATTTGCCATTAAATCAATATAGTATTTGACTGCTACAGGTCTCCTTTAATAATATATATTTAACTCCTCTATTGGAACCATATTGCTAATGCCATACTATGTACACTCAAAACCAAAACCAAACAAATACTGTATAAAATCTAAAAGCCAACATTGTGGAGTTCTAACATGGTCTTTTTACCTTTTCAATTTTTTGAAAAGACACCAAAAAAAAATAAATAAATATTTTTCTCTTTTGACTGTTCCTGTTAAATGGTGGCTACAGGGATAAACACAGAAGGAAGCCTTGCTAAGTTAATCACTGCAAATTGTAAATAAAAGACTGCTAAAAACAAAAATACTGGAGGCTTTTTTTTTCTTTTAAAGGAAACCAAAGAGCAGTCCTGAAAAAAGTATTTTGCCAGGTTTGTACAGGATCATTATAACAGAAGATGTGGGAAAAGACCCATAGCTGTCACCAATTGCTTAAAGAAGTTTTGTTACAATAAAAAGTTGGATAGTATTATAGCAGTACTGCTGGAACATTAGCAAAAGTATATACATTCCAGTTACCTTTGATTTAGCCATAATCACATATGTATGCCTTTTTTGGACAAAAATATATATTTTTATAAAAAACTGATCATCCAACTTTAATGATTTCATATATGGACTCAAAGAGTGGTAGTAAAAGGAACAGACCCAATTATGACAAGGCGATTCAGGGACAGAAAATCAAGTTCCTCAGGAAAAGAAAGTATAAAATTAGAGATTCAAATACATTTATTCAGCCCTATTTTCCAGTCTCCCCACAAATTATGACATTAAAATGGGTTCTTCCATTTATAAAAGCTTCTTCTGATGGTCTCACTCCATTTGTGGTCAATCCTCACTGGGAAAAATGATTGACCGCTTCATTTGAAGAGCCCTGGCCCGGCCATCTGAGATCCTAGATATTTCACTCAAAACAGCCTTTTGTTCTTTATACAGGTTTATTTTAATTAATTGATAAAAGAAAGGGGAGTTGATTAGCATTTTCCATCCCAACATCACCTATTTGCACCATTAAAAATCCTTCATTCAATCTGCTCCTTTACAATCTCTTATTTGCTAAAGTTGGCAAAATTTGCAAAGGCATCTTGCTTAGGTTGCACAGTTCCAGAAGTCATGGCTAAGTTGGGCATGCCCATTCCCATTGTGCCTGGCAGGCCCATCCCAGAAGCTGACATCCCTATGTTCATGTTCATGCCCATCATGCTCTGGTTCATCATCGGAGTACTTCCAAGAGGGGCCATCCCTATGGCGCCAGTCAGGACACTGGGCATGCTCACAGGCACGGGTCCTCCCATCAAAGGGTTAGTTTGGGGCCGGACAGGAAGCATGTTCGATGGCGAACTGAGGTTCACAGCTCCAAAACTTTGGGTCATCACATTCAAAGGTTGTTGCATATCTATCAGAAGAAAAGAGAAGAACTTTACCAAACTAAAATTCTTAATTCATAGAGCAGAAAAATAACACAATCTCCCTGAATATTAATACTTATAAGCCAAAATAAATTTCCTTGATAGTGATTTTACAAGATAAGTAAATTAACGTGCATTGTTTACTCGAGAAATATGCAGTGGCTATTAGCTCTGGTTCCCCAAAGACGCAGACATAATTAAGAGCGGATTGGCAGAAAACACGAGGCACTTGAAAATCATTCCTATAAAATGTATCACTCAATCCTGATCTAACAAGTTGTTAAGAACTACTGTGTATCAGAAGTCTTGAGTTTATATCCCTTGACCAACTATTTTTAGAACATTGTATTAAGGAAAAAAATTACAAGTATTAAGATTTATACAAAATCATGTAGTTATTTATAATAGCAAAAGGTTGGAAACAATTGAAATAACTAATCAAAGAGGAACTGTACACTGATATGATGAATAAAGATCTAAAAATCATTATTTTCTTAAGAATATTCACACAGGAAAAATGATAATGAATGAGAACTCCAAGAAACAAAGCAATATGGACAGAGTGATCTCAAGTATTGAAAATATGGCTGGGAAGGATGGCAACAAACATGAATTACTGGTGATTATCCCTGGAGCTGAGATGATTTTTTTTCTCTGCCATTTTTGCCTATATTTAAAACATTTTCTACGAGAAATATTTATATTTTAGTGATCAGGAACCCAAAACTCAGCACAATACAATGAATGTTACTGTGCCAAGAGTAGAATACAAAGCGTTTCAATGTGCGAGGAAGTCTATTAAGTACTAAACGAAAAATATCTAAACTGAACACACAGTTGCCTTCAGAACACTTTGTGTTATGTATTTTTATTTCATGGCTTAAAGTAGTTCTGGCACCAGGGCAAGACATTACAAGCACACAAAGAAGGTGGATGTCTTTAGATTACTTACTCTGTTGTTGAATCATTGTATTGAGCGATGGCTGCTGGGGTTTGGAAGGCTGCATACCAGGTAGTAAGTTGTCTAGGCTGATGTTTACACTGGGGTCAGACCAAGTTGAGGGCAGGGTTTTGCTGACTGACTTCTGGACCATATCTGTATTCTGATTATAGAGAGGATTAGGCTTCTGCAGCACTGTGCTAACATTTTGCAAAGGCTGGAAAATAGAAAAATGCTCTAAAAATTAAGCACCTGCTCTACACAGATTATCAGATGGCAAGTAATCACAATAACTCTATGCACAGACTCTGTAATAAACTCATGAAACCAAAAAGAATCACAAATGTTCTAAGCTAAGGTCTTCAAAATCCTGAGTTATTAACATCCCCAAAATGTTCCTCTGAAGTCCAAACAATTGTCTAGGGGTGGAAGAAAACAATGTATTTCCTAACAATTATTATCCTGTCACCCAAAGACTAGAAGCCACTGTCCCAGGGAAACTACCAGCTTCAGGTTAGTTCAGTTTTAAGGAAATAAACAAGAAGAAACTTTCTTACAAAATAGATTTCAGGGTATGATTTCTCATGTTATAAAAAGCAAATTATTTTACACCGACATTTCTGGGTCATGTACACTTCTACTGCCTTAAAGTGAACAAGTCTAGTGGAACTTAGTATTATGTGGACCAATTCAGGAGAAAGGAGAAAACAGCAGAGGTGCCTGGTAGTTATTAAGGATAACTGTGAAAAGGACAGAAAAAAGGGAAAGGAATAGGAAGAATCAAAAACCCACCAATGCAAAGAATCACAATAGCTGCAGTTAAGATGGCAAATAAGGAGACTGGCTTTATGCTTAGATCATATGAAAGAAACTCAGAGAATAAACTGGCTTGGGCTTGTTCAGTGGTTCATGATACACAGTTTAACTTAATGGGATTGGTGTGGCTTTCATATCCTTTCTTAATGTTATGTCTAATTTCTGTTATACAAAGCAGTCACCTTTCTGCTTCTTTCTTCTTCCTTCATTCTAACATCCAAAAGAGAATCTACACATTAAAATGAGTAGTTAGCATCATAAACAAATATTCTGAGTAGCTTGAATAAAAAATAGCAAGTTCCTTGTGCAACTCACACAAGAGCACTACATCTAATTCTGCACTTGTATGAATTCTAAGCTAGTATTAGGTAATTTAGATTTAACTATAAGAAGTGAATTAAAAAGCTCCCATTTGGTTGTTTTCCTTTATGAAAATGAGAGTTGAAAGATGGGACTATTACAAAATATAGCACAGGCCCAGAATAGGAAAGAACATCCATCATTTCAGAGAATGATTGATTGTCTGTATTAGCAATGATTGTTTGCACCCGATTAACCGACACTTCTTTAAGGACATGACTAGAGATTTTACTGAGTGAATGCTGGCCATGGGTGAAGCAATTATCTCTATTCCTTCTTAAAAACAAAATTTTTCAACTATTAAGCACCAATTTGTATATTAATTCAGTAAATTTTCAGCAAGTGACTCCACTGTGCAAGTCACCAAGCTTGGCTCCACACAGACTACAAGATGGATGAGAAGGCCTATCCCTGCAGAATCCAAAGGACTACACCAGGGGAAAGAGTGTAAGGTAAATGCAATGTGAAAAAGCAATCTATGTATTGTTTCTTATTTTTCTGTTTTATACTAAGCTGTCATGAGATTATTTACAGCAGCTCAAAAATTATAAATCACAATTTCCAAGGGAGGCAAACAACTTACCTGTGATCTAGACATGGGCAAACCCAGCCCTACAGTATTAGTGCTCATCATAGAGAAATTCATACTCTGGGAAGACGTCATGGTTGCCTGGGATGAGCCCATAAGATCAAACAGGTCTGAAGAATTTGAGGCAGCTGGAGGTGGGCCTAAAGCTAGTTGCGAGCCGCTGACAAGTTCTACAGCTGGCTGCGAGGCGCTGCTGAAGAGCTCCCCGCTGGAAGCAACAGGGCCTGATGGGGCTTGGTTGAAGGCACTCCAGTCACCAAAGTCTCCATTCCCACTTGTTGCTGTTACTGAGAAAAAAACAATAAATGTTAAGAAACTTTCTGAAATGAACAGAACAAATATAATAATCTAAGAACTTCGAAACAAATCAGAGCTGATCTCTGTCCCAGATTAACATCTACAGGTACCATCTCCATCTGGACATTATTATTTCTCATGAATATTCCATGAGTGTTAGCAAGGAAGGGAAGAAAAAATAAAACTCCCACATAATAAAGTAAAATCCACCTCTTGGCAGGTTTGAGGTGACACACAGAAATGACAACAAATATTCCCTGTTAACCTAAGTTTGCATATCAAATATGCTTCCAGCTAAACAAGTATGAACTAGCTAGCCCAAGACTCCAAAAAGCAAGAAGAAAACTCAACTAGTTAAACTTTTTGATGGGAGATCTAGAATCTTTACGTGGTGAGATACTCTGTAAAATTAGAGAATTCAACTCATTTTTTTTCAATCATTATTTGGAAAGATTCAAACATCATGAAAGTACAATTTATACCACCTTGTAAATAAAACCCAAATTCATGAGGTTAAAGTTATTTAAAAAAACCCAAAACCTCCAGAAGAACATGGAGGAAAAAAAATCAATTAGGAGTTGGGTTAATACATTTCTGTAAGAAAATCTCACCCTTTTGACCATGCTTCCACTGACAGCACAAGGACTATAGACAGCCCAGACAGAACCATAATACTTTGCTTGCCTAAAATGGGACCGTTCCATTTGTTTATTTAAACAAAAAGCAGGGAGTAGTCTTAAGGGAGGAGCTCATGCTAATATTAAAGTCACTCCCCAAACTTTTATCTATACATTTCAAAGCATAATTATAACAAGTTTAAGATTTAATGCATTCTATGATATAAAAATTGGTAATAGGTTAATTAACAGAACTTAAACAGTGTAGTGTAACTTACATTAGCTTTTGTAACTTACTAACTATAAGGGTTAAGCTACTTGACCCTCTCAGTGCCTCACTTTTTAAGAAATCTAAGGTGTGAAGATTAAATAATTTAATATATATTAAGTGCCCTTTATGGTTTGCTATTGCTACTCTGGATCGTTGTGAAAAGACAGGGAAGGGCCAAGATATTGCACTATCCTTTAAGTTTGCCATATAAGTGTCAATCAAGCTTCTATAAATTCTGCATACATAATATTAACTTTTGGAACACAATAAATGTAAAGGTAAGTGACACTTAAAAATTTTTTTAACAAGGTTATATGATTCTAAGTAAATAAAGCTTTAAGGAAGGAACAAATAAATGAATATGAATTAATGGAAAAAGCAAAGGTGAAGAAAGACAATAGTAAACTGTCATCTAAACAGTATGTATTTCCAAGTTAATTAACACCATCTCTTTGTAGTCCATATTCACTTACAACTTGGAAATACATTTTGTGTAGCCTAAAAGGTAACCAATCACTACAATATTCTGTCTCACTATGCTAAATAATGAAAAGAGAAAAATAACACTGTCGTAAAAATTATACTCTCCTATTACCATATTAAAAATGTAAGTACCCTCAAAAGAGAAAGTAATTCAAGCAGAAACCCCAAGCTCTACCAACAATTAAACTTATACCTATTGCCACAGGGTTTTACTAAAACATGTCTTTGATCTTCTTTACCAGAGACTGAATTAAGAATTCTACAATTAGTTCTATATATTAAACAATTTAAACTAATTTAAGGAAGATTGCTGGAAAAGGTAAACTTTATGCTGATTTTCTATTTGCTTGATCTATAATGCAATGTAAGAACTGAAACTGGGACAAAAGGTGTTGCCCCACTTGAAAACTTTAACAGAGATGATTAATCATGGGAGGAAGAGATTTCTAGCGGGGCATATATTGTTTGGAAATGATTAATCATTGTTGCAACAGTTTCAGCCCCTTGCATAACAGTGATCACGTTATATTAATCACATGCATAAAGATGAAGAGATGTTAACATATTCAAATTACTTGCATGTCAGGCAACTTTATGTATATATAAAACTTTTGAGAATTACACAGGCAGTCTGTGACATTAGGGCAATGTTTTCCTTTCACTTTGGTTTGCCTACAGTAAGGTATTAACCCTTAGAAGGCATAACCACACTTCTAAAATGAAAGTTATTACTCCGCAATTCTGGTTTCTGGTAAATTCTTGGAATTTAGAGAAGCAGACTGTCAAAACAACCCCAAATCACATTAAAAGCTACGGTTCTTTTTTCCTAAATCCTCATAAACCTAAGTCAGTTGTTACTAAGTATAAATTTTAATGCAATTAATATAACAGCAGTAGATATCCACTTGAAATGAATAATTCAGTTAAATTACATCTTTCCTTCCTGCTTCACCTCATGTTTAGGATTCTTACAGCTAAATTTTTTATATTATCTGTCAAACTTCAGACTGACTAGATATTAAGGAAAAAAAACACTACAACCAACTCCTTTACAACCTTTAAAGAAGACACTTAATAACCAACTTAGTCCCTATTCTATAAGTTCCTATATATATTACTTAGAACCATGACAAGCAGCATTATTCCTAATTTTAGAAAGTTGGAGGCTGAGAGGCTTTCCCAAAGTTAAACAGCTACCAGAGCACATGGCAGAGGTAGTTAAATAATAATAAAAAGGGCAAAAAGACAAGACCTTCACCTAACTCCATGATGGTAAATCTATATTCTGCTTGGATGTTGGCTTTAAAAAAAAAAAAAAAAGGAAGCATAATTGACATAAAATATTTTATTAGTTCCAGGTGTACTGATTCCACATTAGTATATATTGTGAAATCATCATCACAATAAGTTTAGGGTATTTTAAAATTTCTAAAAACGACAATGGAGTGAGGAAGGTCTGCCTGAACTGTTTAACTGCTCACTATTTAAGGATATCTCAAAACGAAGTTCCGTTCATTTTCAAAGACAAGCTCTTCAGATATCTAAATTACAATAAATTAATTTTAGTAAGATAGTCTGTCTAATCCCAATGTGCCTGGAATTTCATTCATGAAAACCAATTAAGCTAATGGTAATAATCTTGTTGCTAAAAATGTGATTATTTATACTTATTGACCCCTCCCCACAAAAAGAAAAGCTGAAGAAGAGTCACTTAAGAATAAAGGGCAGTTTTATGTATGTGTACTTGCCCGAGCAGTTTGTAACCAAATTCAATCATTTGGTATATTTAAGACACTGGCCGAATAAAATACCTTTATCAATGAATATTCTTTAGGGATTAGGAATTATAAATACTTGAAAGAGAAAAATGCCAAAAAACAGCTGGGGAGGAAGTTGTTTTGTTTTGATAATCCTTTCACCGCCCCTAGATTTCTGGCCAATGAAATCGTGTCATACCTTGGGAAGGGAAATTGCCTGATGATGCAGCAGCTGAGCCAAAGTCAGCAAATCCTCCAAATAAATCAGCTGATCCTCCTAGAAATTAAGTATAAGGACTAAGTTTAACTGGTCAGAACAATTGATAGCAACTGAAGGAAGCCATTTTAATTGGCACAACACTTACAAAATCCCCGGTATTAGAGGCCCCAGACCCATCATAAAAGCTAATTTGATGATTTAGGTCTTCCTGTCACCATGTTCCCTTTTAGCTACCAGACTCTCCTGCATTCCTATCCAGTAAGATAACTGACATTACAACTGTCATTAAAGTTATCCCTCACTTCTACTGCACAAACAAATGGTGAGCATGTAGTTTACTCTGCCAATTACACTCTTTCTAAGAATCTTCATGGGATGCTAAAACCTGGGTAAAGTGTTGTTAGGAAATAAGATATTCACATAATCTCAGCTACAAAGGGTTGAAATTACTTTTACAGTGGAGACACTGGATGGATGCCCCCTTAAACAATTGATCAAACTTAATGCCACAAATAATCGGACAAGACAGTGTTCACAGGCCTTCTAGTGTAAGGGACTGAAAAGGAGATCATGACACATGTAGAAATTCTTGCCAAAAATATTTAACCAGAATATAGTCAGGAGTAATGACTCAAGACAAATACAATGCACTGAGGGACATTCTGCAAAACAACTCTTAAAACTTCAGAAAATGTCAACATTATAAAAGATAAAAAAGGTTGGGAGTGCTCTAGATCAAAGAAGCCTAAAGAAACAAGTAAATGAAATGCACAACTCGATTGGACTCTGGATGTTTTAGAAAGTACAATCCGAAATGACATAATTGAGATACCAAGGAAATCTGAATATGGTCTGTACATTAGAAAATAACACTGTTTTAATGTTAAATTTCCCAAGTATGATATTTATATTGTGATTATAAAGGATAATGCTCTTGTTGTGAAGAGACGCATGCTAAAAAATATTTTAGGGGCAAAATTTCATGATGCCTGCAATTGTCTCTTAAATGGTACACAACAAACAAATGGTATGCAATCAACAAACAAGAACAACAAAAAGAACTAGAGAGACAGAAACAGAGAAAAAACCTGGCAAATTTTCTGTAGGTTTGAAATCTTTAAAAATAAAAAAACCGAGGAAAAACTTGGAAATTGATTTGTATACAAATCAGTTATAATAGTTATCAGAAAAAAATGTAATCATTTTGAACTTTTTTTAAGTGTTTATTCCATGAACAAGCAAATGGTTGCATTTTTAACAGATGAAAAAATAATAGCTTTTTGCTACTTTCAGACTGGTATTTTTAAGGAGGCAAGATCCAGACAACAAGGCTGCAAACCAATCTCTGTGTACACATCACATTCTCATATAAATTTTTATTTGTAAACACTACATTGGTAAGAGTACTTACTTTTGTCTACAATTTGAATAATACTATTTTACATTTTAATAATCCATTTCTTTCCAATTCAGTTATCAATGAAACAACAGCCAATGGATCAAAACCTTAATGAGTTGTCCTTATTCTGTTTGTCCTTAAAGATCTCACCTCTTAAGAGTCACAACCTTACAAGTTTAGTGCAGCAGTTCAATTATGGTGCTTTTAGTGTTATGTGAACATTATATAGGTTACATCACAGCTGCTTAGCCTGCAGTGCTTAGAAACTAGCCAGGTGGGACTGGAACATCTGGGCTGCACTCAAACACCACCAGGGACAGCTTCCAACATCTGGTGCCATTTCTGAATTGTCTTATCGCTGTGAGACATTCTGCCCCATCTGCTACACTCAACTGGGTTAATTAAACTAGAACTATCTCCCCTTCATAATAAATGGCCAGCAGTAATAAAAGGAACAAATCAGTTTCTGATACATGTGTACTTGGTATTTCTTAATGCACACTCATTGTAGTCAATTATTAGCAGGCATAACTAATTCCTCATTTCTTTATCTCATTTCAGGTGTATATATTCATGTTATGTCTCACTCATTACTAACTCCCTCCAAGGCTAAGGTTCTCCACTCCTACCAACACTACAGCTCGTATGTCCACTTCTGTTTATTCCAAAAGATGTCACAGTGATTTGTTTTTCTCTTTTTTAAAGGTAAATACATCATGATAAAATGTGACAATAGGCACAAAAGATCAATGAGTTGTATTTTTAAACTATGTAAACAAGAACATGTATTAATAAAAACTAGCAAGGAAATAAATGTTGCAAACAGTTGCTTTATATTCACACGTTTGTCTTCATGTTAAAAATATTGCATAATATTGTATAAAAATATTGTATCAAAGTATACTGTTAGGTAACAGAATGATACATAATTATTTACTACAGCATTAAGAATTTGAAAACTGAGGAATTACAAGCATGAAAAATCATCAATATTCAATTTAGTTTATTATGCCAAACAAGTTGGGGATTTTCAAATCTTATCCAGTATAGACTACAAAGAAAGTTCATGTTGTGGATAAACTCACTGAATACTGCAGATTACAACTTTAAACTGGGGATTTTAATGTTCACATATATGGAATTTATTACTTTAGATGATTACCTTATTTTGGTTATTCTACTAGTCAACCTTCTACTATCTAAACTGAAATTATCTTATATATAACTTACCTATAGCAAATATAGCAAATATTCTTCCCCACCCATATTTTACTGAGTTTGATTTCAACATGACTAATTTAGTAACACTGGGAGTAGAAATGGAAACATATAAGTATTTTACAAATAGAATCCACTTTTCCTTGAGGAGTTCACTTTAATCTTCTTAAGCGCCACTGATTATGTTTCTACTTGAGTTTTATACTGTATGATCTTCAACTTTGAAAACTATCTCAAAAATCAAAAACTCTTTATTAAGTTTCTTTCCCCCTCTCTGAGGAGGAACTATCCATACCTGTATGCATGATGATAGTCATACCAATGCCTTAAATTCAACAGAAATTTTGTATATTTAAGCATTTTCCCAGATAACTTCTATCTAGGGAATTTGAATAAAAGAGTCTATCAAAAATTGCTGCATGTGGAAGACTACTAAATTTCACAAGAGCTATCCTTCAAGATTCCCACATGAGAGCTGTCACTATAAATGAGCCATTTCCATCTGCCTTTTCAGGGCAGCAAGGAGGTTATTTACAATCACCAGCTGGGAACGTGCATTTTCTAAAGCAATACGGTGAAAAGAGGAAAAATACAGCTGAACTAGACAGTGCTTAAACTAAAAATGGATATTTTCTTCAACAAAGAATTTCAACTATATTATGAAAAATCTTTGCATGAAGAATTCTAATACATACAAAATTACATGACAATGTGAAAAAATTTGTAAATTTGATACAGAATCAAAATATACATAAGAAGTTAAAAAAAAATAAGTACAGATAAATGCCTCCAATTAAAATGGACAAAGGACATGAATAGACAAGTTATGCTGCCTATAAAAACATGAAAAGTATTCCAACTCAGTCATCAAACAAATGCAAAATTGAAATACTATTTTCTACTTACCAAACTGTAATATTTTGAAAGATGCTATTTTACTACTTTATAATAGAGAAAACTTGGAAATAAAACAAAACCTAATGTATAAAAATAAGAGACTGATGGGCTTAACATAGTATATCCAAACAATGTGAAGATTATAAAGCAAATAAAAGGTGTGTAAAATACCAACTACTATAAAAGGAAATGGTCATGAAATTTTGGGGGAAAAGCAGTTTACAAAAGAAAATCCTTACCTAGAAGCCTGAAAAAGATTTGTCACATAATAAATGCTTACATAAATATACTGACTGAATATAGAAAATGTGTTTACCATAATTACTAAGTTATTAACCTTATGAATCTATTCATTTATGATGAATCACTTGTTTTTCCACCATATTTCTAAAATGAGCCTGCGTTAGTTTTTAATTAGTGAAAAGAATGTTTTTATAATTAGTGATAAGAGCAAATTTTATTTTTAGTAAACCCAGCTTAACCTAGAGACCATACCCATGGACATTCTAATATATAAACTGGTGTACTTAAGATGTAACAAGGCAGCTCATATTCATGTAAACATCTTAAACTATAGTGATTACTAGATACAAGAGAACAGTTTCAAACATAAATGCAAAGAAAAATTTGGATTTGATATACCATGATCTTTTAAAGAATATTCTAAATATTGTAAGTCATGTATCTATTTGTACTAATAATGGTGTATTTTCTCTTCAACCTCATTTATTTACTAGCAATAATAATGTTATAATAATTATGTTATCTTTCATTTATCTTTTAGAGAGGTGAGATATACTGAAAAATGAAATGGCATGGTTCCTGGCATTCTGTTTCTAATTGGCTTATTTTCTAAATACTTTATTTTCAACTGTATTTACTTAGAAATGTACTATATATAAAAGCCAGAAACATATCATTTAAGTACAGATTTTTAAAAGAGTATCACCACAGTGGGACATTTATCAAGAGAGTCTCAAGTAAATCTTGATGAATGTGTATTTTAAAATGAGACATGTAGGTATTCTACAAGGATTTTACCACATATACTTTTGAAGATGTTAACAAGAAGGATACAACACTGCACTAAAAAGAGAAGAAAGAAAATCTGAGCATTTCCTCAAAGGAGGTATTTACTTGGTGAGTGGTACAGATGCCATATCTGCTTAGGTTTACAGTTCATGCCCGTATCAATGCATGACAGTACGATTATAAATAATGGCACATCTGGTAAATGACACCCAAATGGAATACCAAACAGTACTGCTAGCATGGTGGTAGGTTCTTAGACTTTCTCATGTGTGGGTGGCTAAAGATCTAACACCTAATTTTTTTCCACTGCTGAAGTCAATTTAAAATACGTATTACTGAAATATTTAAATAGAGATTCAATAGAAAACAAATTTATGTACTGATTGGATGGGGGAGGGTCCTGCACAAACTGATTAAACATACTATTTCAAAGGGAAGATAACTTAAAAATATTTAATTCTGATATCAACCCATATTCAGTTGTTTTTAGAGAATATTATGATAAAATAAACATTAAGAAACCTTCCAGATTTCATTCAGATTTTGCTTCAATTACTTTATTAATATTAACTGCTACTTCTATTTAATTAGTCAATCTACTGTTTGCACTGGAGAAGAAAAACCACTCAAAGGTTTCTTGCCAGGCAAAGAAAGCATGTTGGTATTTAATAATTCTCTGTGTTCAATGCAATCTTACTATCACTGAGAAAAAAGTTACATCCATTCCTCTGACCTTCCTAGTTAATTTTTCTCTGACTGCTCCATTAAAACTTTCCACAGATGCATGAAAGGGGCTCTTAAATATTTCATGCCAGGAAGTCCAAAATAGTTGATATTCTGTGACACTATATCTGTATTATATGACTACCTGCTAACTACCCTACCTACCAATTAATACTAGTTAAAATCTTAAAACATACAAAAAGACAACACATCAGTTGTTAAAACAACTAACGTAGTTGGTTTGTAACCTTAGGCATGACAGTTCAATAGCGTTTAAAAAATAATTTGAGAAGAGTTGTAGTTACAGAAAAAAAGGAACAGGAATTGAACAATCTCAGGACCTACACTGAACCAGATGCCCTATTAAATTCACTCCCAGTCCAAAAATTTTATGATAGTAGGCAAGGAATAATAATAATGTTATAATAATTATGTTATCTTTCATTTATCTTTTAGAGAGGTGAGATATACTGAAAAATGAAATGGCATGGTTCCTGGCATTCTGTTTCTAATTGGCTTATTTTCTAAATACTTTATTTTCAACTGTATTTACTTAGAAATGTACTATATATAAAAGCCAGAAACATATCATTTAAGTACAGATTTTTAAAAGAGTATCACCACAGTGGGACATTTATCAAGAGAGTCTCAAGTAAATCTTGATGAATGTGTATTTTAAAATGAGACATGTAGGTATTCTACAAGGATTTTACCACATATACTTTTGAAGATGTTAACAAGAAGGATACAACACTGCACTAAAAAGAGAAGAAAGAAAATCTGAGCATTTCCTCAAAGGAGGTATTTACTTGGTGAGTGGTACAGATGCCATATCTGCTTAGGTTTACAGTTCATGCCCGTATCAATGCATGACAGTACGATTATAAATAATGGCACATCTGGTAAATGACACCCAAATGGAATACCAAACAGTACTGCTAGCATGGTGGTAGGTTCTTAGACTTTCTCATGTGTGGGTGGCTAAAGATCTAACACCTAATTTTTTTCCACTGCTGAAGTCAATTTAAAATACGTATTACTGAAATATTTAAATAGAGATTCAATAGAAAACAAATTTATGTACTGATTGGATGGGGGAGGGTCCTGCACAAACTGATTAAACATACTATTTCAAAGGGAAGATAACTTAAAAATATTTAATTCTGATATCAACCCATATTCAGTTGTTTTTAGAGAATATTATGATAAAATAAACATTAAGAAACCTTCCAGATTTCATTCAGATTTTGCTTCAATTACTTTATTAATATTAACTGCTACTTCTATTTAATTAGTCAATCTACTGTTTGCACTGGAGAAGAAAAACCACTCAAAGGTTTCTTGCCAGGCAAAGAAAGCATGTTGGTATTTAATAATTCTCTGTGTTCAATGCAATCTTACTATCACTGAGAAAAAAGTTACATCCATTCCTCTGACCTTCCTAGTTAATTTTTCTCTGACTGCTCCATTAAAACTTTCCACAGATGCATGAAAGGGGCTCTTAAATATTTCATGCCAGGAAGTCCAAAATAGTTGATATTCTGTGACACTATATCTGTATTATATGACTACCTGCTAACTACCCTACCTACCAATTAATACTAGTTAAAATCTTAAAACATACAAAAAGACAACACATCAGTTGTTAAAACAACTAACGTAGTTGGTTTGTAACCTTAGGCATGACAGTTCAATAGCGTTTAAAAAATAATTTGAGAAGAGTTGTAGTTACAGAAAAAAAGGAACAGGAATTGAACAATCTCAGGACCTACACTGAACCAGATGCCCTATTAAATTCACTCCCAGTCCAAAAATTTTATGATAGTAGGCAAGGAAAAGGAGAAAAGTAACAGGAGACTTTATATTAATTACATGTACTAAACTATCAATGAAAAGTAATGTCCCTCACACTTCTACTTAAAACACTAACATCAACTTTAAAATAATTCAGTTTGAGGAAATCATTACATACAATTAGGAACAAAAGATTTACTTAGCATGTTACAGTGAGACAATCCTGCTGTCACATTTTAATGTGAAATAAGCATCAAACAGGCTGGGAAAAAAGACTGTCTTTATGCAGAAGTTGTATTCTTAAGCTGTTTTGACTTGTAGCACAGGAGTTTATTAGAACTCCGAAGTCATTAAATGCAACCTAAAATATCAACTCTCTTGAAAACAGAGGGAATTACTTAAGTAACACCTAGCACATACTGGATATCAAACTGAAGAAATCATTAATCCTATGAGAAAATCTTGGTAAGTGGACTATTCTCTTCAAGCCCTCTTAAAATATGTCAGGGAGGTAAGTACACCCACTCAGGGAGTGCCCCTTTCCTCCAAAGCACTCTGCATGTCTGTAACTAGGTAACGAACTGTGACTTTTTGTTTAAGGATTACTTCTTTCACTTGACCTTTCCATGAAGGAAAGAACAGAGGTTTTACTACGCATTGTATCTCAAGTACCTAGACCAGTGTCTGGTTCAACAAATATTTGTTGAACAGATGAATGAATGGCTTAAATGAACTCTAGAGATGGCTGGTGTTGACAGTCAGAATTAAGATTTGGGGAAGGACAATAAAATGGGCAGAGCAGTACATTTTGCTTATTGAGAAAGCAAAGTGCCCCAAATACTCATTGCTGAAGAAATTAAGGAGAGAGATTACTGAAGTATTAATCATACATTTAAGCACTCTTCCTTATTTTAGGCAATTAAACAATCTTCCCCACAAATAATGCTCCAGGCTCACCAATTTCATACTAAAAATTAAACCAATACAAAAAACACTTATTTTTATTTCATCTTTTATTTGGCATTTTAAAAAATTACTCTGAAACCAAGGTTTCTAAAAATAAAAAAACAATGTGGAAGCTCACCTGCTGATTGGCTGGTGCCATCAAACAGATCAACAAGGTCACCAGATGACTTGCTGCTGGGCACTGAAGTCTGGAAGTACATATACAACTAATAAGCTTAGAAAACAATTTTCTACTATTTTTTCTAGATCTGCTTTATGCATCTCTAATGCCTAACTTGGACACAAACACCTGTACTTATCTCAATACGGGTAGATTTAGCTGAAAAAAGAGAAGTGACCTTGAATCCTTATGGAGAGAAAGTGTTTTTCAGTAATTCTATTCCTGGCACTGTAGAAGTCCCTAACAGCCACACTCTTTCCTCTCATTTCTTTCTCACTGCATTTCACTCTGGAAAACACACCTTCCAGATCCCACTCAAATCTTAATGCTGTGTATCAGAATCATTTGAGAGGCACTGAAAAATACACAGGGCGCCAGCCCATCACAACATATTGAGTTATAATTGCCCAGCATGGGATCTTGGCCTGCACAGTCTTACAAAGGCCCTCGATAATTCCAATGAATAATAAGAATAAAGTCTGAGAGCCACTGGAATAAGAGGCTGAGATCCTGTGTAGCTCTAAAATTCTATGATTCTATGATTACTATTTGTATCCCACATAAGAATGTGTAATTCCATATTGTTTGATATACCTTGACATTTAATGTTTCATATTTAGTTTCCAAACTAAATTGTGGGGTTAGAGTTGTAATATGATTCTTCTCTTCTCCACAGTCCTAAGCACTCTGATGTGTATGTCCTGTATGTTCAATACGTACATGCTAAATTAGAACAGAACTGCTAGGATACAGGGAAACACGGTAAATTCCTAGGCATGTTAATTTGAGCTTTGAAGATTAAAATCTGTATTGTAGTTCAAAAGGCTTTGAGATTGGAAGAGGTCTGAAGCAGCTGAGTAAATTTTCAAGAACTTCAGCCTTCAAAACTTTATTGAGCAAAAAAATAAAAAAGCTTACAGTACAAATATTAAATATTCACAGCACTGACACATATTCAGACTGTACAAACTGACATTTAAAATCCTTCAACATAAAAAATTTGCAATTTATTGTTAAAAAAATTATAGTTTGGATGATTTTCCCTCATGCAACCCTAAATGAAATTCTCCATGTACCCACCATCATGTATTTCGGTTCTAGTTAAGACTATCTACTAGATTCTGTACCGCCATCAGTAAACTAACTGAATCCACAGCAGGGGAAATCTAAAACCAAAAAGAACAAACAACCATTTAACTACAACTAAAGTGGAGTAATAATTTTGAGATTTTCATCAAAACTAAAAAGAACACAATATGGGTGAAATTATACACCAGAGGTTATCTGGCAAAAGGTGACACTACTTGTTCTTGCCACTAAGTAGGACTAGCTTTATTTTTAGAGTCACCTACAATTTACAGGATACATTACAAAATGCTTTCCTTAGCTTTTACTACTTCCAAAGAAGACACAAGTTGGGTAAACACTAGTGAGGGGAGTGACAAAGCAACACTTCAGCCTTTTGGGGCAAATCTCCCTCTTTGGCAGAAACCTGTCCAAAAGACTAGCTTATAGTAGATTTCATTTCTGTGGTAAATAAAAAACAAAGGAAGAAGGTGTGAGAGGCAGTGTTGCTACTCATCAGTAGTGAAGATCAGACAAATAAGCCTCCATTTATAGGTACCATCTCTATGTTAAATGAAAACCACTCCCCTATGTATCTACTTGGTCCTCTTTTGTCATTTCTTACAACTTCCAAATAGCCTCAAATCTTCCTTAGTCAATCTCATTGTGCTTGGTAATCCTGCTGGTGTCTAGAAAGAAACAGATGCACTACATTCTTATTCAGTAATTCTAATTGAACAGAGTGTCATTTCTACTTTCACAGAAAGTATATAGGGAATCATTCAGCAACTGGACAGGTTTCTTCCCCCAAAGAGATTTCTTACTATTAATGACTCTGGGCAATACATGCCAGATGATCTATAATTAATATGATTGCCTAGAAATGCCCAAGCCTACTAAAGCAGTAATTCTAAAAGTAATTTATGAAAATAAAAATGTGTAAACTTGTGCCATTCCCACCTTCACTGAAGACTGAGGTGTATGAGTTGAAGCATTCTGATCTGGACTTGCTTTGTCCCCTGTGTAATGTGCTGCTGCTCCAAGATCAATCGTTTTGGAAGGATTTGCTGTGCGCTTGTGTCTAGTTGTGGTGGTCTCTGTGGCCTGTGTGATATGGATATGCTTTGTCGTCACAGTCTCCTCTTCATCTTTGAATTCACCTTTGGGAGATCTGCCTCTTCTTGCTTTCTTTTCCTCATCACTGTCACTAAAAGATATTAAAAATGAAGCAAAATAATAAGACTAGGAATTATTTTAACATGGAACCCTCAGTGATTTGAGCTAGAGAATTTCAAATGCAGTAACTCCAAAATTCCATACTTTCACTATATGACAGAGATCAACAGAATGTTATCTAAGCTTTCTGAATAATATGTGTGTGTTGGGGAGGGGAAGTGCGAACCTGCTGAATTCCCTAGGTAAGTCTAAAATTCTGCTATAAGAAAGTACTTACATAAATGTGTATACATAAAAAATGTCTGAAATAATTTAAATGCTTATTAGATTTAAAGCTTAATTAGAAAATAAAACAGCAGAATAATCATATCAAAATCAACCGATGAGACCCTGGGAATGCAAACATCTGCATTTGATGACCACTTTTTGAAATGGACTATGTGCAAATGCCTACAGTTCCATTTATATAACATAATTCTGTCACTGACTCTTATATATTAATGCAAAAGAATACATAATAAAATATTACAATTTCAATGGATATATTTTAAATATTATCCTATCTGAATACAAATTAAGCTGTTATCTATAAACGGCAGAAAAAGAATGAGGCAATGCACTTTACAACTGTACCCTATTTTATTATAGTATCAGTAAGTAAAACTTTTAACATAACTGAAAATGGTTTTAAGAAAACTTAAGCATACTAAAAATGTTTTGAAATAATTCTTTTTCAGGCATATTTAAAAAAAATTTTTTTTCTGTAATAGGGCAAAAGAAAAAACTACATAATGATTTAAAAAACCTGGGTTTTTTCATATGCTGTGAATTCAAACTATCAGCACTAGCCATGTCCTCCAGTAAAAAGGCACTGAGTTTTTTCTGGTGCAAGTAGGACAGAGAGAGAAATTACCTGCAATATGTTCCATTACCAATTATTACTTGGTTTTAGAGTAGGTACTTTAATTTATAAATATTCTGGAATATAAAATGCCTAAAATTCTCCTTAAAACTATGACTATTACTACTGATGCAATTTAACTCAGACCAATCTACAACAATTTCTACTTAAATATAAACTGATTTGGAGCCTGTATAAATCAAGGATGAAGAAGAATGGCTTCTGAAACAGAGCAAAGGGGTTAAATGTATTTTTATCTTTAAGCATTTTAAGGAATATACAAGTTTTGATGAAGTGTTCAAAAGCCCTTGTCACTTATTAATTTCTTAGCAACAAATGACATGATGATTCCCACCATCAGTCCTGTAAGTTAAACTGAAATTTCTCACCTTTCTGATGTCCACTTTTATTTGTTTGAGATTTCTTTAAAAGTTGAGAATATATCCCATGTTATCTTGCGTCTGCTACTCCTATAGCTTTTCTTCTTCCTTCCTAATTACAACTCTTAAATAGAATTCGTGCCTCATATCGAATTTACCGAGTATCATAATTCTTCCAAGTGGTAAAGATACCTCAAGACAAATACTGGGCATAGAAGCCACAGGGCATAAATTTGCAAAGAAGTAAAAAGCTAACCTTTTCAAACAATATTGCCTCTCTCTCACTTACCAACTTTACATTTCCCTGTATGGCCCCAGAAGATGACTGGTTAGCCAGAGACGGGTAAGATTCCTCAAGGGAGGAACAACCTAAGAC